GACGGGGTCCGCAAAGCCCCTGCCCCACAGCTCCCCCCACCTCCCTTCCTGGCACCCCACAGCTCCCCCCACCTCCATTCCCACCACCCTTCCCGCCACCCCACAGCTCCCCCCACTGCCCCCAGGATCCGTGGGAACATCAGCCGGTCCTGGGGGGACGGGTCAGTGTGTGTGTGGGGGGGGGTCCAGAACACCCCCCGCCCCGGGGGGGGGGGAGGGGGGGGCAGGGGTCCCCCCCGGCGGGTACCTGCGGGCGCTTGATGAGGGTGTAGGCGTGCAGGGCCTCGACGTAGGGCTGCTGCAGCGCCTCCACCTGGCCGTGCTGCTGCACGTTGGGCCGGTCGGCCGAGAACATGTCGATGGCGATGAGCAGGGCGAACTCCGCGTCGTCCAGCTGCAGCCGCCGCATGGCCCGCGAGAACTCGAAGATGGGGTTGATGAATTCCACCTGCAGCCCTGGGAGGGAAGACACACCGGGGGGTGGGGGGTGTCAGACCCTACACCCTGGGAGCCCCCCCGACCTCCCGGAACCCGCAGCCCTGGGATCCTCCCCCCCCCTCCTCTGGGGCGCCTCCTGCCCCCCCGCCCCCCCCCCCCCCCCCCTCGCACCGGCGCGGTGGAAGTCGTCCTTGCTGTAGGTGAAGTCTTTCAGGAAGGTGATGCTCTCCGTCTCGTGGTTGTAGCGCCGGGCTGTCTCCAGCAGCATGATCTGGGGGAGGCGGGGGCAGGTGTGAGACCCCCCCCGGCATGGCAGGGCCCCCAATGCACCCGTCCCCCCCCCCACGCCACCACAGAGAGGGAGATGTGACCCCCCCCCAAGGACCTGGAGGCTTTGAGCGTGATCTGGCCCCCCGCCCATCCCCTACACACGAGCATAACCATCTTTGCACAGAGTCCGTCTCGTGAAGCATCGTTTGCACACGCCTAACGGTGCCGGTCGTTACTGTCCCTGGGCGGCGCCGTGACAAGTTCCCCCGGGCGGTTTTATTCACCCCCGTCCAGCATGGGGGGGGGGGGGGCGCAAACCGGCCGGGCTCAAACCGAGGGCCGTG